TTTAATCATAATAATAATCTTATGAATTGGTGTACGATTTGATGAATGGGTTTAGTTGTATGAATATGTTATATGGTTACACTGCAAACATTTTGCATACCTGTTGTGACCTAATTTACAAACGTGTAAACTCGTGCTGCAGTTCTGCTTTGCTGTTTAAGAAAACTTAAACATGGAGTACATGTGCTGTGCTCCCTACCTCACCACTAGGTTCTGACCTAACAGAAACCTGTTAGAAAAAGGGAAGCAAGAAAGAAAAGAAATGAAGCAAAAGTGAAGTGGCGATCTCTGGACACAGTAGTCTGCTCAGCAAGCGGTACTTTTCCAGATGGGCTATAAGGAGAAACACCTTCAAGTCTATGAGAGGAAAATGACAGAATTCATCTGCCCAGCCCCCTCCTGCCTGGTTTCCCATTTGTTAAAATTCATCCCAGAAAGACTTCAACTCCCTCCACTTCTGGGATATGTCATCGGCCCAGCTCAGGGCTACCAGATACGACATCCTGTGACCAGGAGCCAGACATTCTGGGTAAGCAACAGCAGACTGGGGAAGAGGGCCCAGCGTTGCCAAGGAAAGGACTGGGAAGTCTCCACTGGGACCAGGAAAGTCTGGGTGCTTTCAGCCAGTAAAAGCATTGAAGGGAATCCCTTCACATTCCTCATGTATGGACAGGTGCTATAGCAGAGATGACTTAAAGCAACTCAAAGGTTGAACCTTCAGAGTCCCAGAGATTCCTTCCTGGTTGCACCTTCTTTAAGACCTTGGGGCTGAAGTTGACGCTTTGTCATTTAAGGTTGTTATTCATATTCCCATAATATTCCCTGGAAAGTAGTTAACAGAGCTGGATGACAAGCCCCATGTCCTTGATCCTGATGCGCTAAGAATGCACTGTCATGCTGTGTTCTCTGCCCAAGTTGTTTTCTGTTTGGGCAGAACATGAGACTAATGAAGAGTCAGCAGCACCTGGTCCCAAGGAAAGCAGTCGATCAATGGATGCTCTACCACTCATGTTACTAAACTGGGCCCGAGTGCTCCTACAAGCACCACAACCTTTATCTGAATTTACCTCATAGCTGCCTTTTTGCTTCTCCAGCACCCCCACAAGGTTCCTGAGTTCAAACAATTGCTTCTAGGAGTCTTCATTAGGGGTAATCCCGTACTTGCTTTGTTACGGTACTCATGGGTAAGTACAATCTCTCTAGCCAGTCACTCATCAGTTAATGCCTCTTTCATTTGTAACCTCAGAATAATTACCCTGAAATAACCTGATATTACCAACTCTCCTATAAAAGTACTAGAGGAATATTAAGAACAGTCATGTAGAGGTGTGTATGTATCTATGGACAAATATTTAAAACTTCATAGACTTAGGATACTAAACCCAAATCGGTGTCAGCCTTCATGTCTTGAACTTTGTTGATGAAACACCCAGATAGAGCCAGAAAGATGCGCCTTGATCTGGGGGAGACAGGGAATGCTTCATAAATCAGGTAATTCACTGGGGTTTGGTAAGTCTTTCAGGTATGCAAGGTGGGCTACCGTGAGGGGTGGGGTTGGCACTCGTGCATGGATTTTACTGAAGCAAGAGGGCCTAGATGAACCTGTTTCCCATCTTCATTCTGATCACATAGCAAAGTCAAATCCAGTTCTATCCTAGGAAGAAGATATGGGGTCGCTGGGAAAATCATGACTTTTGCATAGAAAAATACATCATGACTTTCCCAATGACCTAGTAGGCCATTTGTACATCTATCCATGCAGGAAGAGGGGAGGTATGAAAGATGCTGAACACTCACTTTTAAAGAACATTTTAATTTTGATGAGGTCCAATGGACTGACTTTTTCTTTTAGGAAAAAAAAAAGTCTGATATTAGTGAGAACGGTTACTTTTTTTTCAAATAAGTTCCATTGTTCCAGAACAATTTGCTGAAAAAAAAATTATACTTCCCACATGGAATTCTACCTTTATCAAAACCAAGTGATCATACATAATTCTATTTCTGGACTCTAACAAAATTCCATAGATCTATGTCTAACATTATGCCAATACCATACTACCCCAATTATTGTAGCTTTGTAGAAAGTCTTGAAGTCATGCAGTGTGAACCCCCTCCAAATGTGTTATTTTTCAAAACTACTTTATTTTAAGTCATTTGCAGCTAAATAAAAATCTTAAAACCAGATTTTCCATAAACTTCTATAGATAAAGACTACTTGGTTTCAATTAAGATTGGGTTAAATGTTTTGGGGGGAAATTAACATCTTAAGAATACTGTGTTTCCAATCCAATGGAACATGATTTCAAAGAACATAGTATATATATCCCACTTAAGTCAATCATTCCTCTCAGCAATGCTTTGTAGGCTTCACTGCATAGGTTTTTCAGGTCTTTTGTCAAATTTATTCCTCAAATTTTGAACATTACTGCAAATTATAATTTTAAAATTTCAATTTCTGATTGCACATAGCTAGTACATATAAATACAACAAATTTTTGTATATTAACCTTGCATCCTACAACTATGCTAAACTGACATTAATACTATTAACTTTCTGGCAGATGCTACTAGATTTTCTACAAGTCACCTCTGAAATTTTAATTCTTCCTTTCCAATGCCTCTTAATTTTTCTTTTTTTGCTCCATTATACTACCTAGAATCCCCAGAAAACTGTTCAGAAGTAATGAGAGTGGGCATCCCTGCGTTGAACCTGATAGTAGAAGGAATACATCTAGATATGCACCATATTTGTTAGACTTTTTTTTATAGAAATGCTTTATCAACTTCCCTTTGAAACCTAATTTACTTAGTTTTTTATCCTTCATGTTGAACTGTCAACCTAATGATCTTTTTTTTTTTGCATCTATTAATTTAATCATGATTTTTCTCCTAAATTGACATGGTGAATTATACTACTTTTCAAGTATTAAAGCTATCTCCATTCCTGGGATTAAAATCCACTTGGTCAAGATGTAACATCCTTTTTATATAAAAAACTGATTTGCTACAACTTTAATAATTTTTCTGTTGCTGTTCAAGAGGGAAAATTGTCTAGATTCTTTTTGCTTACAACACCTTTGATTTAGATATCAGAGCAATGCTGGCTCATCGAAGGAAATGAGAAATATGCTTCTCTCAATCTTCTGGGAGAGGCTAGGTAGAATTGGTATTATTTCTACCTTTTATATGTGATAACATTTACTAGAAAAGCTATCTATAGAGTTTTCTTTGTGAGATTTTTAACTAAAACTTCAATCATTGATATAACTATTTCATTTTTTATTTCTTTAACTAATTCTTTTTTTTTTTTAGGAGAGGTTTTTGCTATAGGGCGCGTGCACTCGCCAGACAGACAGAGAGAGACAGATAGAAAGCGAGAAATCACCCCCTAGGGGGGATGGCCATGCCGCAATCCCTTCTCCTCCATTCTCCTCTCGGGATCTTGGGCACGCACGCACACACACCTGGCGTGAGTTTAAGCCACCAGGTCCGGGTCTCGAACCACAGTTGACTACATGGGAGTCCGGCGACATAGCCATTACGCTAACTGCTGGTCCCTCACTTTTTATTTCTTGAGTGGAGTGAATTTGTATCTTCCAAGGAATTTGTGTTCATTTCATCTAAACTGTCAATGTATTGCATAAGTTGTTCATAAAACTCTTACAACAGTAAGTGTCTCATAAACAATATTATTGGTTTATAGCTGTAGAATCTGCAGTGATGACACTTCATCATTCCTGGCTTTTATGACTTGTATTTTATCTCTTCTCCTGATCAGTCCAGTTCAGACAGAGGTGAAGAATTTTCTTAAGCTTCTCAAAGAACCAGATTTTGGTTTAATTAATTTTCTTGATTATTTTTCTCTTCCCAATGTCACTGACTTCTGTTCTACTTTTGTTATTTCCCTTCTACATATACTTTTAATCTACTCTTCTTTTTCTAGTATCTTTAGGTGGAAGCTGAGATTATTGATTTGAGATCATTTTTTTTCTTCTTTTTTTTGGGCATTTAGTGCTATAAACTTTCCTCTGAGTATTGCTTTACTTACATCATAAGATACAAGGTCAACCTACAAAAGTCAATTGTATTCCTAAATACCAGAAATGAGCAAGTAGGAAGACAAGTTCCATTTACAACAGTTCCAGGAAAACACTATAAATGTAAATGTAACAAAATATGTGTATGATCTATATAGTGAAACTACAAAATGCTGATGGAAGAAACCAACGATGTAAATAATGGAGAGACATGTCATATTCATGTATCAAAAGATTATCATAAATATATAAATTCTCCCTCAAACTTATAGATTTAATGCAATTCTAATCAAAATCTCATCAAAATTTCTATCAGAGGACCAGATTCTAAAGGAAAAGATAAAATGAATAAGATAGCAAAAATAAGTTTTAGAAAGAAAAAATGAAGTTGAAAGAATTATAGTCCCAGATGTTCAAACTTATTACAAAGCTACAGTAATGTTGACCATGTGGTATTGGCAAAAGAAGACACACACATATCAACAGAAGAGAATAAGAAGTCCAGAAATATGCTCATAACAATATGGCTCGTTCTTAACAAAGATTCAAAACAAATTCAGTAAAGAAAGGATAGTCTTTCCAAGAAATGGTACTGCAACCAAGAAGTTATCCCATCTATATGCCCCCAAGCACGAACAAAAAACCCTGATATCCTGTACACTTTTTAAATTAACTAAATCTGGGCCAGCAGGTAGTATAGTGGTTAAGGCACTGGATTCCCACATGACCAACTATGTATGGTTCGAGTCCCAGACCCAGTAGCATGAGATGCGTGCATGTGTGCCCAATATCCCACGAGCAGAATGAAAGAGAAGGGAATATGGCATGGTCATCCCACCTACGGGGTGATTTCTCACTTTATCTCTCTTTGTCTCTCTCTGCCTCTGGCACACACACACATGCCCTACTATGGGAAAAAATATCACTCAAAAAAAAAAAAAGATAAAAAGAAAAACTTACCTAAATCTAAATATAACATGTAAAATAAAACATTTAGACAAAAGCATAGGAGAAAATCTTTAGGACTGGAGCTTAGACATGATACCAAAAAAGAACAATCCATAAAAGAAAAAAAAAAATCAGACTTCAGAAAATTAAAATTTTTGCTCTGTAAAAGACATCAGTAAGTGAATGAAAAGACAACCTGTAGAACAGGAAAAAATACTGCGAAGCATTTATCTGAACAGATTTGTACCCATAATATATAGATTCTTAAACTCAACAGTAAAAAAACAACCCAATTTAAAAATAAACAGAGGGTTTGAACAGACACTTCACCAAAGAAGACACACAGATGGAAAAAAAAAAAATGTTTACCATCATTTGCCATTAGAGAAATGCAAAATTAAAGATATCACTAAACTCCTATTAGCATGGCTAAAATAAGAAATACTGCATTATCAGGTGCTGGTGAAGATCCAAAGCAACCAGAATTACCTTTCTGCTGAATAACAACTTTTCTTAAACACACTATATAAATATGCTTACAGGAAACGATCTTTTAATATTGTGGTTTTAGACAAAGACACACTTGCCAGTTTACTCAACACAACAGCTATGTATAATATAGGAATGAACCATAGGATATTTTTCTTTGCATGAATGGAATCTTCTAGACTTCACTCTATTGTATGTTCACCTTTTCCTTATTTTTTAAAAGCAGTCCTGTATTTAGCCTTTATTTTGTCCTAAAGCAAGGGTCAGCACTTTTTCTCTAAAGGTTGATTCCCAAGGTGGTTTCCAAGAGACATCCTTTTTCTCATCAGATCTCATGTTTCAGCAGCACATAGACTTTCTCAAGTCCATTCATCCCCACCCCCATATAATAAGGTGGGGCCTGAGGAGTGGAGAGGCTGAGGGATTAAGTGGCAAAGCTACGTCAAGACCCAGGAATTTCTCAGTGAATAATTTGCCTTCTACATACAGGTAGCACCCCAGAAACACAGGAAGTATCTTCATCTGCCCCATCATGAAAGTAACTGAAGTATTTCTCAGGGGTGTCCAGATATCAGAATCACCCACTGTATCAGAACCTCTGGGAGTGGAGCTCCCCAGCAGGTGATCTGATGATGCACTCCAAGTGAACGAACAGGGCCATCCAGTAGCCCAAGACACATAGCTGCAGGACTAGGGTCCAAGGCATTAATGCTGAGGTACTCCCCGTCTTTACATCCACAGCAGGTTTAAGAGAATATACTTTATTAATCTAGCTTTCAAACACTAGAAGCTAAAATTCAACTGAATTATAACAAGCTATTTACACAGTGCTGTCTGTGGAACAGGTAGGGCTGAGCCTAGTTCTTCCCCAACCACCCACCCACCAAGCCCATCCTCCAAACAGGCCTGCAGTCACCTTCCACCTGCAGCAGAAATATCCAGCACAGAGAAGACATTCATGTACCCCTGACCAAGTCCTCAGCAATGGCAGACTGGGGGAGAGGACACCAGACCAACACAGAAAAAGACAGACAGACACAGGAGCCGAGAATGCTGAGAAGTCATGGCCTGCCTTAGTGCTTCTTTAGGCTGTAGGCCAGGCTGCTTGGGACCCTGGGGCCATGCAGGGGTGGTGAGTTCCAGACTGCAGAGCTGGTGCGCTTATGGTAACGGGGCTTGCTCTTCTTGAAGATGTCCTCCAAGTCCAGTGGGAGAATGGTTCCAAAGAGTTCCAGAAGATTCGGGGGATGGTAGTACTGGTGGATGATGGCCTGGCTGAGCTGCGTGCCTGCAGGGGAATGCAGAAGCCTGGGTCATGCCTTGGGATACCCCAGGAATCTCCCTGTTCCCTACCACACCCAGAGCCCTGTCACCCTCTCTACCCCAGCATGGTCCTGCCTCTACCAAAATGAGCTCCTATTTCAGAGCCCTTCTCTTGCCCACGCCTCCACCAAACACTGACAATGCTCTCATTTCCTGTTCTTACTACTGTCCTCAAGAGCTCACATGAGCCAGGCAGGCTGAGCCCTCAACTACATGAGCTCACAGTCCCCACCGCCACCTGGGAGGCAAGTACTTTAGTCTCCCTATTTTACAGATGAGCAGATTTGCCCAAAGGTGCACAAGGCTGGAAGAGCCCAGCCTTGAAGACAATCTAGCTCCAGAACGTAAGCAGATGACGCCATTTTCAAACCCCTTGCCGGCTGCTTCTCATCAACCTCACAGGCCCCACTGTATAGGGTACAGGCAGAAGAGGCTCTGGGTTGAGGGTAAGAGCAGGCACAACTTTGCCAGCCAGGCTGAGAAAGGCCCTGTGGCACTTGGCACCAGGTGCCCACTCTAAGAGGATATACCATGGGACCACCAGGTGGCCTAATGGTTAAGATACTGGATTCCCACATGGCTGACTACAGTTTGAGTCCCAGGCCTGGCAGCTTGAAAATCACTCCAGGCACATGTGCGTGTATGCCCATAATCCCAGAAGAAGGAAGGAGAAGGGATTGTGGTGTGGTCATCCCCTCCAGTAGGTGATTTCTCATTTTCCCCTCTCTCTGTCTCTCTTCAGTGAGCACATGCACTCTATAGCAAAACTTAAAAAAAAAAAAAAAAAAAGAGGTGGCCACAAACCAATACACTTCATTTTCAGCAAAACTTCTCACCTGGGTCTTATCACCCCCATTTTGTAGATGATGACACTAAGTTAGCTGTCCAAGGTCAACTATTAGTAGGTGGCTTTGTTGGGAGTCTGGTTCGACAGCCACACTGCCCCCTGCCTGCTGCCGCCTCCCAAACGACTTGGCACTAACAGTTGGAGAGGCTAAGCCAGATTCCAGTTACCGTGGGGTTCAAATGAAGAGTAGGTCACAAAAGCAACTTGGCTTCTGTGGCGTGCAGATCCCAATAGGATTCAAACTCTTCCCCTGGGGGTCTGTGCCCTGCCCTGACCCCCAGCTCGGCAGACATGGCAAAATACCCATTGTAGGCAACTGCTCCTACTTGGTTCCAGAAGGACCTCAAGCCCAGGTCTGAGGCAGCACCACCATGCTCCCAACACCCCTGATTTAATGCTAGGGCTTTTTAGCCCTAGGTCAAATCCTGTTCAAGTGCTCCATGCCCCTCTTCAGGTCCTTTCCTAATTCTCCCAGCTGGCTGAAAGCCCCCAGGTTCCCACTGTAAGTGCTCTGCCTAAACCCCATTACCACTCAGCTCTACTCTAGCTCCAACTTGATTATTTGGGTGCAAGTCTCATACATTAGGTGGGACTGTAAGGATGGGCCTAGAGTCCTAAGCAAAACGTCTTGCCCCAGGCCAGTCAGTTTAACATACTTGTTGAGAACAGAGGAACCCAACACAGTAGGTCTGGTCCTCAGATGAGCCCTTCGATCTCAGGGTCCCTATCCTCCCCTAGGTGCATACCAAAGGCCGGATGCAGGATGTCTCGAGCCACAAGCCCATGGGTACGATGGCCTCCCAACATCTGCAGAGCAGCCTGTCCACTATTTTTAGGGCCCTAGCAGGTGAGGACAGTCAAGAACCTGAGTCTCCTGGGAACTCTGGGCCCTGCTTACCTCTGGCCCAGGTAGGGATGGGCTTCCGAGGATGGGCTTCATCATCAGTGGAGTCATCGCTATTCAGATCCATCCCATAGTTGTCTGGGTTGATCTTAGGTGGGTGCCTGTGCCCTTGTGGAGTCATTTGATAGGAAGTACAAGCAGGAGACTGGAAAAAAAAAAAAAAAAAAGAGAGGCCATCAGCTCCCCCTCCACTGCATTCCTGTATCAGGGTCACTTTTTAATTTTAAGCTCGTGGGACAAACACTACTCTGTCTCTAACTTTCTCACGTTCAGGTATGATTCAGACTCTCTTCCAGTGTTTAGAGTCATCTCCTTTGGGACAACTCCAGGACACTGAGCCCTACAACCAATCAGCATCATAGATGGACATTTAGCGACCAGCCAGGTTTTCAACATCTTTACTATGCTGCCGCACAAACCCTTTCTCATACTCTGTGTCGACACGTTTGGTAGCAGCACTGAGCTACAAATAGCTTCAATGCTCCTCAACAAGAGCTGGTTAAACCCTAATACAATGAACTGATACACAACCATCAAAAATGAGAAATTGACCATGCACTGAAATATAGAGATGTCTACAATATATACTAAATGATTTTTTTAAAAAAGAAGAAGAAAGAAAAATTAGGCACCAGATTGGTATGTAACAATCTGTGCGCATTTAAAAATGTGTTTGTGTATACATGAAATAGAGAGCTGAAGAGAGTATAAAATGGTTACATGTGTGACCATCTGAAAAATAAACACTGGGATGAGGAGTTTCCCTCTAGGAGAGGTCTTCGTTCTTTAAATTGTATATTCTTGGGGCCAGCAAGTGGCATGGCACTTAAGACACTGGACTCCCACATGGCCAATTGCAGTTTGGCGCTTGCTTTCCCACTCTCTCTCTCTCTCTCGCTCTGTCTCTGTCTCTTACTGGTGAGTACACATGCCCTATGGCAAATTAAAAAATAAGAAGAAACAAAATTAAATAAAGAATTATTTTTAAAAACTTTATACTCAGGTGTGTATATATATGTATGTACATACATATTATATGTATATATACATACACATACACATACATACACCTACACACACAAACATTTTTTATAAGTCTATTTCCAAAATAAGGATATACAAGGAATCTTCAAAAAAATTCATAGAAATGTGTATTATTAAAAAAACTACATGAATGTCATAATTCATGATAGCAAAATAAACTTGTACTTTAATTTTTCTTTTCCATGCGCTTTATGAAGTCCCCTTGGATCTATCAGGTCCCGTAAATGGGGCAAGCTGTAGAGCACCTCTTTGCAACATGGGAGCAATATGGCTGACAGAGGTTGTACCCAGGATGGATGGAGGACCGGTACCTACAATCCTGGCTGACTATGCGAAAGGATCAGAGAATGACGAGACCTAGTGTAGAGTGGCTGCCTCCCTCCCTACAAACACACACACACACACACACACACACACACCTCTGTCTCAATCACTTTCTATCTCATGTCTCATGCACTCTCTTCCTCTCTCATTCTTGAAAGCAATTAAAACTTTTAAAATGCTAATAAAGAAAAGTATGTGTATCAAAAATAGTAAAATGGGGACCAGCAGATAGCATGATGGTTATGTCATTGGATTTCCACGTAGTCGCTGCGGTTCAAATCCCAGACCTGGCAGCTTAAAACTCACATTGGGCATGTGTACGTGTGTGCCCAAAATCCTGAGAGGAGAACAGAGAAGGGACTGTAACATGGCCATCTCCCCCAGGGAGTGATTTCTCACTTTGTCTCTCTGTGTCTCTCCAGTGGACACACATACCCTATAGCAAAAATCTCTCAAAAAAAAAAAGCAAAATGAATGGATGATTGGGCCAGTGATCTCCTCTCCTTCTGAAGATCCTAATGTACACAGTCTGTGGATACACAGTCTGTGCCCACTGCTACCGGAAAGAGAATACCCTGTCCACTTGGGGACCCCAGGGCTCACCTGCACGTCCACAGTCACGTTGAGATCTTTGCTGGTCCCTGCTGCCTCCTTGGCTTTCTTCTCCTGCTCCTCCTGCAACCGCCGCTCAGCCTGCCGTTGCTGCTCTTCCTGGGACCCCAGCGGGCAACAAGGTGTTAGAAGCATGTCCCTGCCTCAACCCTTCTGCTATGGCCACCTCAGGCCACAGGGTAGACCAGGCAGGCCTTACACCAGGAGTCTAGACCAGGCCTCCCCTACCCTCTCCAGCCTGGCATGGACCACCATAGAACCCCATAGCCCTTGTTCCCCTTCACCTTCTTCTTCTCCTCCAATTCCCTCTGCAGCCGCTCCTTCTGCAGCCGTAGGGCTTTCTCCCTCTCCTTCTCCTGCAGCTCCCTGAGGACGAAGGAAAAGCCTATTAGGGTGGGATGCAAAGCCTGGGCCCTACTCCCCCCCCATGCCACAGAAGACAGGTCCAGCAAGATACGCCTAAGAAGATGAGATGGCAGAACTGGCACACTGGCTCAGAGCCAGCAGTTGCACTGTTACCCCAAAGGCTAGGCATGTGCATGCTCAAGGGTGTGTGTGGGAAGCATGAGCTGGAGCCCAGGTTCAAAGTCCAACCAAATGTGGCCCCCATTCCTACTCCACGCAACTGAAGTCACAGCTATGCTCGTCTCTCTCTTTTGTTAAAAAGAATTATTTCATTTTGATTGATTGATAGATTGATTTAAATTTGACCAAAGAAGGACAGAGAGAGAGAAAGTGAGAAAGCAAGTCACTAGGTCCGGGACTCAAATCGCAGTTGGCCATGTGGGAGTCCAGTGCCCTTAACCACCGCGCCACCTGCCAGCCCCAACTCTTTCCTGGTATACAAAGAGGATCATAACACCTTTCCTCCAGGGTTGTTGTACAAATTAAATGAGATAATCCATGCTGCCTCTAGTCATGCTAACCCACAGGGTGGACCCCTGGCTCCAAGACTGAAGCAGGGAGGAGCTACTGATGGGCTTTGAAGTCACTTCTGGAGTCTCCTCCACTTTCTATCACGTGATCTTGAGTCTCTAAACCTGCTCTCCCTGTGAAGTGGAGCTGATGGTTCCTGTACCACAGTGGGCTTCAAATTTCCTTCATTAAACAAGAACACGTGTGTAAAGCACGCAGCTTGGTACCCACCAAAACAGCTGACCACGAAGACTATCACACTCCATCAGCCCACAGTGCTCTGGCACTACCGGGCACCATAGAATTCTTTTTCCTTTTTTTTTTTTAAATGGAGAGATTTTTCCTATAAGGCGCATGCGCTCGCCAGAAAGACAGAGAGAGACAGAAAGCGAGAAATCACCCCCCAGGGGAGATGGCCATGCCACAATCCCTTCTCCTCCATTCTCCTCTCGGGATCTTGGGCATGCACACACTCATGCCCAGTGTGAGGTTAAGTCACCGGGTCTGGGACTCGAATCATGGTTGACTACATGGGAGTCCAGTGACATAGTCGTTACACCAACTACTGGTCCCAACACCACAGAATTCTGAAACCACGTTATCTGCTACCTACCTTTTCTCCCCTTCTCTAACTCCCACCTCTGACTCTGCCCAAGACCCAGGGACACCATTGTGTCAATCAACAAGCATCAGAAGATGACCCTGATGTAGTCCACCTCTCTGGCTATGACCCCTCACTTCTCCATTAAGTCTGTAACCACCCACAAAGATAGACACAGAAAAAAAATGCTACCTGCTCCTTCCAGGAGGTGGAAGCAGAAGAGAAGCTGCAAGGTCTCCATGTACACACACACACGGGTACACCCTTTATATGTACACTCACAGACACAGGAACTCACACAGTCGCTTCCAGCCAGAGTACAGTTCACCCTTCCTGGCATCCAGGACAAAGCACAGCAGGCCCAGGGTGGGCCCTGGACAAATGCTTTTAACTATTTTATTCAGGGGGACCAGCAGTTAGCGTAATGGCTATGTCGCTGGACTCCCACGTAGTAGACCGCGGTTCGCATCCCAGACCCGGTGGCTTAAAACTCACGCCGGGCGCGTGTGCGTGCGTGCCCAAGATCCCGAGAGGAGAATGGAGGAGAAGGAACTGCGGCGTGACCATCCCCCCTGGGGGGTGATTTGTCGCTTTCTGTCTCTCTGTCTCTCTCTGTCTTTCTGGTGAGCGCATGTGCCCTATAGCAAAAACCTCTTAAAAAAAAAAAACAAAAAAAAAACGTGGGATTCCCCCCATTGGAGAACAGTCTGGAAATGTTGCAGGGGGTACCTGCACGATCATCACTGCCAGGGCAGGTACGCTGAGTTGGGGCAGGGTCCAAGGATCCTAACCGTCCTGTGATGGGCCACAAAGAACGCTTCTGCCCAAAATGGCCCTGTGGAGAAACACTAGCTCATTCTAGGGCGTGTCCTACCCTCCTCTGTGTCAGTCGAGGCATGAACACCAAAGGGGTCAGCACAGGCAGCTGGAGGCAGAACCAAGACAAACTCCTAAGTGGTCCCACCCATTGCTTCGCAACTGTCCCAGAGCTGGTGTGCACACTATCTGGGTGGACGAGCATCTGGGTTTGGAGCCAAGAAAAACCTCGGCAAGTGAAGTGGAGGCTGTGTCTGGACGACAGCCATCGCCGTTATATTCTCTCTCTCTCTCTCACATACACACACACACACACACACACACACACACACACACATACAGGAGGGCAGGCGGTGCCCAGCCAGGAGACCCCTCACCTCTCGGCCTGGAGCCGCTCCAGCTCCCGCTTGCGCTCCTGCTCCGCCAGTTGCCGCTCCTGCTCGCGTTGCTCTGCCTGGACGACAGCCATCGCCGTTATATTCTCTCTCTCTCTCTCACATACACACACACACACACACACACACACACACACACACATACAGGAGGGCAGGCGGTGCCCAGCCAGGAGACCCCTCACCTCTCGGCCTGGAGCCGCTCCAGCTCCCGCTTGCGCTCCTGCTCCGCCAGTTGCCGCTCCTGCTCGCGTTGCTCTGCCAGCTGCTGTTCCCGTTCTCGCTGCTCTGCCAACCGCTTGGCCTCGGCCGCCTTCCGCAGCCGCTCCTGCTCCTCCTCTTTCTTCTTCTGCAGCAGCTCTCGGCTCTTCCTCCTCCTGAGCCAGAGAGCAAGGTCAGGCTGCTCCGGCCAGGCCCGGGCCACAGTGGCCAGACAGAAGTCCAGCAGGGAGGGAAGAAAGACCAGCAAGGAGGGCAGAAGGCGTCTCCACCACCCCAGGCGATGGCAGGGGATGGGCTGCAGGTCACCCCCAACAAGGCTCCGTAAGAATAGCCATAACTGCACTAAAAAGACATCTCATGACAACTTCTGCTGCAGCAGCAGATTTCATGGGTGAGAGCAGACTTTTAAGCCAACCTGGGTGACTTCTAGGCAAATCGTAACCTCCTTGTGCATCAATTGGAGACAATAGCAAAATCTGCAACTCATGGAGTTGCTGAGTTTATATGCACAGCATGCTAAGAACAGTGCCTAGCACAGAGTATGTAACAAGGCGTAGTTATTAGTGATACCACCACTAAATGAAATTTGCATTCCCTAGATTGACAGAAAACCGACATTTCCCAGGAAGAGATAGGCCCCTACTCTTTTTTTTTTTTTCGAGAGAGAGATTTTTGCTAGAGAGCACATGCACTAGCCAGAGAGACAGAGAGACAAAAAGTGAGAAATCACTCCCCAGGAGGATGGCCACACCGCAATCCCCTTGCCTCCATTCTTCGTGCACGCGTGCACATACACACGTGCGCACCTGGCATGAATTCTAAGTCGTGGTCAACTATGGGAGTCCAGTGACATAACCGTTTCAGCCCCTACTGTCACAAATGGAACATTCCAGGGATGAATCCTAACAGCAGCCACGTAGAGAACATTTAACATGGGCTGGCCATGACCGGGGCACTTTATATACGCTAACCCATTTAATCCTGACGACAGCTCCATGGAGCGGATAATGCTGCTACCTGAAGTAAGAGAAGCAGAGAAATCAAGTAACTGGCCCAGAGCCACAGGCCTAATGAACGGCAGAGCTGGGAAGAGAAGTCTGGCTCAAAAGCATTTACTTGATCCTCAAACTGCCACTTCTACAGAAGATTGGAGAAGGTTACGGTCACCATCCCTATCCCCAAGGAATCTATTAAACCTCCTTCTGGGCTTGAAGCAATAAGAGCCACCAGGATCCACTCCACAAAGTGGGGTTGATCTCCAGGCACCAAGGCACTGAGCACCCTGCTCCCCCTTCCCTGACGCCACCTGCATCCGTACCTGTTGTAGCCACCTGAGCCTGCGAGCTTCCTCCTCCTGCTTCCTCCGTGCCTCCACCTCCTCAGTCTTTTTGGCTGCTGCTTTTTTCTTGGCTTTCTCCTCTGCCAGCCGCTCCTCCTTGGCCTGCAGAGATCACCCACATGTGCCCAATGAAGTAGCCCATCTTAGCCGTCACAGCGGGACCCAGAAGTCTATTCAGGTACTCCATGCCCTGCACCCTGGCTTGTTCCCCGTAGACCAGGGGACAGGATACCGGGAATGTGGTCCTGTACAGGATCTTCAGACTAACTCCCTCACAATGAGATGCCAGGAAAACTTGGCGCCAGGAGCTTCAAGCCCCCAGCTTGACTCAGAATGGACTGCAGGGCCCATGAGACAGATGGGTGAGGAGTACAGGACATCCAACCCATACCTTCCCCAGAGGCTGCCACGCCAGAGCCGACTGGCTGCCCACCAACCCAGGCTCACACCTTCTCGGTCTTCTCATCAATCTGAGCAAACTTCTGCTCAATCTGCTTCTTCTTCTCTTCCTTCATCTGCTCCACCCGCTCACGGGCCTGCAGCACCTTGCGGAGGCGCTCTTCACGCTTCCTGTGGGGCACAGGGCAGTCATGGGGGCGCTCAGCAAGGCTGGGGCAGACCTGGGCCAGAAGCCAGGAGCCAGGAGCCCAGATCCCAGAGCCCGGAACCGAGAGCCCAGAGCCCGGAGCCCA